ACTGCTCAGACAACAAGGAGATCATCAGTCAGTCATAAAAAGAAGCACATATCCATTAAAAAAAACCAAAACCAAACAACACGCAACCAACCCCTCCAACCCCCAAAAACTTTCATGGAACTTTTCATATTCAGAAGGAATATCTTTTTATTAGAAAAAAAATAGAATAATTTAATTGTAAAACTAGTTATTGCACAGGACAACTACTGCATATGCTGAACATCTTCAAATAACCAGCATTCTCTGTGATCTGGCTACAGCACAGAGGAAAATAAACAGCTAAAATTTAGGAAATAACAGTCTTTTCTGTTCCTTCGTATTACCTGACTTTCCATGAATTCATCCATAGTGGTACTACAGTAAATTTTTTACCTGCCTTTTGCACACTCTGCATTTTTTTAATTTCTTTTGTTTTCTGGATCAAGTATAAGCATTTTGTCTCTGCCTCTGTAGAGGATCGTAGCTCTGGAATTGCTCAAATCTTTCTGCTTTCCTCCAGGTCTCAGAAAAATTCTTATCAGTCTTACATCACCATATGCTCTCTTTCTTGCTGAACTCTATGTATGTTTCCCAACAAACTCTAATTATGCAATTTCTTTTAAAATGGGACTATTTTAAACAAGTTATTCCAACACAAAATCATTTAAAAGCTATGTCGCCTTCCTCATTCCATTTACTAGAATACGCAAGGGGTATTAAAGAACACACTGAGGATAAGCTCCTTGGAGAAATTGTATTTACATAGTATCATAAGAAAATACAGTATTTCTAAGGGTAACTAGAAAGAACCTACCTGTTTCTCACTTTCCTGGAGACGGCAGTTTTCGTCTATTGCATCTTGAACAGATGTCTTGAGTCTCTCTGTATTAATCTGATACACTTTTAGGGTGGACTTGGCCTAAGTGAAATGAAAGTGTGTGGTTTAAACAGTATAGGTGAAGATATAAGTGGGGTCATGATGGTATTACTGGACTTTTAGATTTTCTAGCTGTCCTATATATGTATTCTCACATTTTCCCTATCATTTCAACAGGTTTTACTGATTGTAGTTTTGCAACACTATGTACCATTGTGGAGTGAGAAGGCAAAGAAAAGACAAGGTAACTGTATTTCCCAATAAATGCCAATCACTATACGAAATTCAAAGTTGCTAAATTAAGTCATACAAAAGTACTAAGCCTCACAAAGTCTCTTGGTTTACACAGCGTATTATTTTTGCACCCTTAACAGAAAAAAAAAAAATCAGTAACTACATGCAGAACAGAAAAATTGCAAAGATTTGAAAACAGGAGATGTAAAGATTGGACATACCTCGTCAATTTGTGACTGGGTAGACTTTGCTTCATTCTCTAAAGATTCCATTCTCTTGTGAACTTCAGACACCTGAAAATTATTAATTGTCATATAGCTTCTTCCACAGATTTGACTGAAAAAGTCTAGGCAATCAATAAAGTTACTTTAATTTTCAAACTGAGGAGGTTCTACTGCCAAATCAGTAAAAACAGCTTTTCTTCTTTCGAGTATTGTCCTATATGAGTGTCGTTTTTCTAATATGCTACAGCAGGTATGAGAGGAGGCAAAATGGGAAATGTAGGGTTTTTTTCAAAAAAACCCAAAAGAATAGTTTGTCTTCTCCATACAGTTTTTTTGGAGGGCTTTTTTTTTTTTTTAATTAATAGTAACAAAGACAGGATTCTATTTATTCTTACCAAGTTATCATTGTCTGATTGCTTAGATTTTTCTTCTTCCAGTTCTTTTTCTAGATGCTCTATTTCTTGCTTGAGTTCCAAGTTTGACTTGTTCAGTTTTTCATGCATTTCCTAAATCAAGTTGTTTTGACAGTTAACATGAAACATTTGACATTAATTACATAAGAATACAAGTATGTTTTAAATATGACAGCAAAGTAGATTTAACAAATCATATCAAGAATAAATCTCAAAGTACTCTAGAGACTCTTGCATGTTAACAAAACTGCTAACAATTAGCTCTATAGGATTTGAGGTGCAGAATGAAATACATCTGTTTGCTTATTTATTACATAAATTTTAGAGTCCATTAGGTATTTGATTCACTTCCTTGGAACATTTTACAAATATATTCTCAGTTTGGGTGACATAAACAAAGTAGTGGTAATTTTTGTTTACAACTGTGCTCCAGTAGACTATAAAATATATTTGAATTAAATCAGATGTGAGAAAGAATACTTCATACACTACTCTCTCTCTCCCCGCCCCCAAAACAGGAACAATTTACTTCTTAAAAAAATTAAATATCGTCTAATATGCCATTTGCTCTAGTATCAATCATTTTTTATGCAACTGTTACAAAACCTTCTCTGAATTTAAATGCCTTGCTTCTATGTCATTTTCAGTAACCCAAGACTAAATTAACAATGCTCTCAAGTAAAACAATTAAGGTTTTGGGGGTTTTGTTTTGCAGGTTTTTGTTGGTGGTGTTTTGGGTTTTTTTTTTAACTATGGGCAGCATTCTCCTGAAATACTGCCTTACACTGTAGAAGTAACAACTTCCATTTATCTTTTTACCTCAAAAAGACATGTGTCTGTTGATTCTTTTGCAATGTTATCATCCTTCAGGGACAATTCTAAATCTTCAAACTGAAAAGGAAATAGTTTGTATCAGAATGTATGCAAAGAACTGCTTAAATAATTGCATTAATTTACGATGCTCTAATCTAAAACATAGCCACCACCTAAATATTCACAAATGCACCTTGCAGGAAATCAGGAAAGTCTTAGCCCTAGTAAATTATCCCAGTGACATAAACCAAAGACATTTTAAAGCTGCTTTCAGTGAAACACATCATATTAAGAATTCAAGGCAGAACTTGCTAACACCTTAATTGCACCTGAAGGCACTGACAGGAAAAAAGCATTTGAAGAATCACTTAAAAGGTCTTAAACATCTTACTTTTAGATAAGTTTAATACTTTAAATACTTGTTAAATTGAGCTGACATCTGTGACACATCTAAAAGCAATAAATGAGGACCTTTACCTCTTTTTTGCAAAGGCTGAGTTTTTCAAGAATTTTGCATTTGTCTTCAACTAGTTCAGCAATTTTATTGGCAAGCTGTCTTTCCCTTCCTAAAAAAAAAGACAATTAAGCATTGCAACATCCAAACAATTTAAAAGAGGAAAAAAAAAAGTCATACTCCAAAGAAACAGTACGAAAAACAAGCTTACCTACATAAAGTCGACTTCTAACCTGAAACAGAAAGAATAAATACTGAAAACATCTGATCAATTACTCTTGATAGTATCTGAAAACTAATCTTTTAAGCTGTGGTTCCATGATCAGTTTAACCACGGAACTTAAAAAAGCAATATAAATACATGCTGCTGTTAAAAATGGGCAATTGCATCCTCTGCTCTTACTCCCTCCATGGCTGTGTGTTTTCCCTGTCCTTCTCCCACTCTAATTAAACAGAGAGAAGAAAGGAAAGGTAATTAGTTTTCACACGGATCACTTTTATAACACACCTCTGTATAGTCATCACATAACCACGACTGCCAATACAACGTGGTAGTGGACACACACAGCCAAAGGAGTAGGAAAGGGGAGGGAGGGGGAAGCTCCATGTGCCAGCTCATACTTAACTTCCCACGAGGAAAAAACCCAACACGTTATAATATGTAACAGTCAGAGCTGAAGTAAGGGTACTACTTGATAGGCATCATGCCCAGATGCATTTCAGCAGG